AGTGAAATACTGTTCATCTTGAAGTTAATGGGAGTTTTGCCATCAATTTCATTTATTTGAAATATCTGTTTTGGGGAAATCAGAGTAGTAAGTCACCATATTCAATAACTTACTAAAGATGTGAGAGTTTGTATTCTCAATCAGTGTTGAACAGTGTGCAAAACAAAATACTATTTTGCTCTCCTAATATCTGTTACGGCAATGGAATTGTTTATCTGAACAATACTATACGTATAGTTACAATGATGTATTATCAGAGTAGCCAGGAGAAGAAGATGAAGACAGACTGTACATTCCAAAATAACGTATACTGTCTGAATTTGTCCATTATATTAGTGAAATTTATTGTGTGGCTAGAATATAAAGACCATAAACAAAAAGAAAAGGTATAGTTTGAGGTTTTGGGGGCAGTTATTTTGAGATTTTTTTTTTTTGCTAATGTCCAGATTAGACAATAACAATGCAATAGATCTTATTGTATGGCGATCTTTTATGTATCTTTTCCTTTTGCACTGTGTGCTTAAAGTTAGTGTTCTATTGGTCAGAATAGTGACAAGATAAAAATTGCCATTTCCCACTTTGTTTACCATGTATATTCTATAGGGTTACCATATTTCAGCAAGCAAAAAAGAGGACGGGAGGAGCCCCGCCCCCGTCCTGCCCTAGCCCCGCCCCGCCCCTGCCCCTTCCACTCCCTCCCACTTTCTGCCCCCCTCAGAACCCCCAACCCTCCCCCCGCTCCTTGTCCCCTGACTGCCCCCTCCTGAGACCCTCCCCCCATCCTAACTGGCCCCCTAGGACCCTACACCCTACCTGTACCCTGACTGCCCAAAACCTTATCCACACCCTCCCCAGAAAGCCCCCCCCCGAACTCCCGACCCCCCCGTCTCTTGACTGCCCCCTCCAGAACCTCCCTGCCCCTTCTCCGACCCCCTGGCCCCCTTACCCTGCCGCTCGTCCCGGCATGCTGGGCAGCAGGGGAGGAGGAGCGGGGGAGGAGCTCCAGACTGCCGGAGGCGATCTGCGAATGCAGGGAGGGAAGGAGGGTGGGAGTGATCTCTGCTGCAGGGGAAGCGGAGGAGGGGCTCTCTCTGGCTGTCGGAGCCCCGTGTAAATGGCACCATCCGGCCGGCTGCCCTGTTAGTTGCGCGCTCTCTGCATGGGGGGGGGGGGAAGTCCAGACATTTACAAATTCCCCTCGGATGCTATTTTTAGCTCAAAAAGCCGGACATGTCCGGGGGAATCCGGACGAATGGTAACCCTAATATTCTAAGTCATAGCTGCTGAGTTTAGTAAGAAAAATATTTTTACTACTTCTCTTAGCAATGCAGAACCAATATAACTGTGAGACAGTGATCTCTGGATTCTTTTCTGACTCAAGCATTATCATTAGAATTAACTAAGTTCCATTCACAGAAATCTTCATTAATGATGAGACATTCGGCAGAAAGAGCCAAGCTTGACATTCCCAGATTCCCAGTTGAGTTTGTAAGACTGGCAATTAAAATACAAACCTAATGCAACATTGTTAATGGAGGACATTTATAGCCTATTCTGCCATTCCTTGGCCTAAATGAGATTTTGTACAAGGAATGCCAGATTGGGTCCTCTAGATGGATAGACCATAAACAGGGAACCCTTCAATGTTTTTTCGCAGAGTATGACCACACTTTAAATCCAATAATGTTTGTGGAAGATTGACATGTTGTGAATGGATTGGATACAGAATAAAAATACTCTAGCTGAAATCATGGCCCCATTGAAGTCAGTGGAGTTTTGCCATTGTCTTCAATGAGACCAGCATGTCACCCTCTTTGCAGTGTCCAGCTACACTGTAGTGTTGGGGTATGTTTAAAGAGTTCCAAAGGTCAGCAAGAGAGCCAGATATATCTTTATATTTTTCTGTGTACTGGCTGAGTCTGTTTGTTTGGATCCAATATGATAATGCACTAGATCCTGATGATATATGCAAGACAAGGCTGTTTGTCACTAAAAAGGAGGCCTGCAACGTATGTGGTTTTTCCTTGTCAAAGTTGTTACTAATCCGTTGGTACTCCCTGTTCTTCTACCTGTTTCACTTTTTTCTGTCATCCTCAATGGCAGCAGCTGCTCGAGCATGAATGTCAACACAAATGTTGCTTGTTATGCTGTCTCTTGTTCCCATTCAGTGTTCTATGCAGCCATGCTGATCTCCATTCCTTGTCTCTTGTGTGGGTCTTTTTTGTCGCCCTCTCTGAGAAAATGAAGATACAACACAGTGGGGCTCACTTAATGGAGATCCAGACAATGCTGTTTCCTGAACCTGATCATGTTTCTGCATAGCTTGGACTGTTATTTCCTTCATAGGTCCAAACCCTGGGTTTCTTAACCAGTCCTTACTCAGGTAATCTGGAATTCAATCCCATATTGCTTGAAAGAGCTCAAATTTTGGCCAAAAAGAAATGGGCTTTTCTCATGTTTTTTAAGACAAACTTTTTGATGTCATCTATGGGTGGGTTTGTTTGTTTGTTTGTTTGCTGCTTTATACGCTAGAAAATTATAAATTCTTATACTTGCCAGCCTCCCTTTTAATTGTTCTGCTATCCAACCCTTCTGCTACCTCCCTCCTTGGTCTGGAAAGCTCGCCAATGTCTGTCCTCTTTCCAAGGATCTACTGTAATTGGACTTTACTCATTCAGTCAGTTCTAGGCAACTAACCTTGTTTGGGTAAAGGTTTTGTGGCTGTTGTGCGGTTGCTAATGACTTGTTTTGGCAATGTCTCTAATTTTTGTTAAAATAAAATTTACCATGAAAAAAATCTTTTAAAACATACTTTCTTGTTATAGCCAATTGAATTCCAGCTCAGATGTGTACCTTTCCTGTTAACACATGTGATCAGCGATATGGTGGTGCAGCCTGCATTCCATCTAGACTATGCAGTGCCTCTCCCACTCCCTTCTCTGCACTTTATGGAGCTCTGTACATTTCTGATGTGTACTGTGGGAGCTGTCCCTATGTTCCTTAGGGCTGGTCTACACTGGGGGAGGGGGGATCGATCTAAGATACACAACTTCAGCTACGAGAATAGCGTAGCTGAAGTCGACGTATCTTAGATCGATTTACGTCGCGTCCTCACGGCACGGGATCGACGGCCGCGGCTTCCCCGTCGACTCTGCTTCTGCCTCTCGCTCTGGTGGAGTTCCGGAGTCGACGGGGAGCACGTTCAGGGATCGATTACTACCCGCCGATCTGGCGGGTAGTGAAGACATACCCTAAGTGAGGATAGGGATTACGCAAGATATCCCTTCCACCCCCACTCACCTTTGTAAGGGTCTGTCATAGCCTGGCCCACTAGGGTTTTTTGAACCACATTGTAAAATTCTAAGAATATAAGAATGGCCGTACTGGGTCATCTAGCTCAGTATCCCATTTCCCAGCAGTGGCTGGTGCCAGATGCTTCAGAGGGAGTGAACAGAACAGGGCAATTTAATCGAGTGATATATCCTGTTGTCCAGTCCCATCAATAGCAGGAATATAAAATTACACAGGTAATTAAACAGAAACTTATAGTGAGAGTATATTTTCCTAAAATGCTCTAGGACTTTTCTGAAAGGGAATTGGTTGATGTATAAAGCCACTCACAAATATTTAATTTCTGCATGTTCTTTGACTTTATTTACTATAGTTTATACCTGGATATTAAGAAACCTAATTATAATTAATGGGACTTAATTCTCATTTATGCTAAGGTCCATTTATGCTGCTACAGGGATGTTAAGGGATGTTCATTTACTGTAAATGAGAATCAGGGGTCAGTAATCTTTTTCTTGCGAAATTTAACTCACTCCTCCATGATGTAAATATCTGAAGCATTAGCCTTTGGAAGCAACACTATAGGTCAGAACTCAAAGTTGGAAGACTTGTGTTGTACTTTAGCCCTGTCCCGAGCTCATGGCTAGAGCATAAGGAGTATGTGGTAAAATGTTACCAAACAATGCAGAGCATTAGTCTGAGCAGACCTCCTATTAACCACTTCTCTTTCTCCATTCTCTTTCTTTCTTTTACTGTTTATTTCACTTTATTTAATTTTTGTCCCCTTTATTTTTCTTGGCCAAATGAAATAAGGAGAAATGTTGGGCCAAAGTTTGCTCTTGGGCAGTCATTCACAACTCCCACCATTTTAGCTCTGAACCTTGCAGTCAGATGTGGCAGCCTGGATTCCATCTCCCATATGGGATGCTAACAGATCTGATTGCAGAGTTGGGTCCTTACATTCAAATGCATCTTAGGGCAAAAATTGGCATATTTGAGTTTTAAATGTGAAGAAGTGCGGGTGCTCAGATTGTGTTCTCTTTGAGGACTTCTGGGACTATCTAAATAGGGTAGCCTTCACAAGTTTTTAAAGTGCCTATGAGTAGGTCACCATTTGGGGAATATAATTTAACCAATATCAGAGGGATCCAAAACCTTTGGAAATATGGGATTTTGGGTAAGCAGGAGAGCGACATATGATAAAACCACTGTTTCCATGCTGGCCTATATTTTATAAAAATGTACCTTTATTACTGTTCAGTTGATTCAGGCTGTGTGGAAAAAATTATAGCAGATTGCACTGTTTAAAAACCTGCTTTAATAGACCCAGTAACACTTTGATTAAGTTCCAAACCAGTAGATACAAAAGCATAGCAAATGATCTTGGAATTCCTTCCCAGATAAATGATACTGGTGATACAGTAAGTTGTTATTATTAGTTTTATGATTATAAGTATAATTATGGACAATGATTTACTCTTGAAACTAGCTGTTTCCTTACTGTATGGTCTCTTATGTTGTACAGAGGAATTTGAAAAAAACTCTCCCACAGGCAGCAGAAATATAAGAGAGGAAGGGTTCATGTTCTTTATGGAACAGAAATCCTCAGGACATATGCTGGAATAGGGGAAATGGTTCGATTTTATTCAGAATTGCTGACTGGGGGGAAAATTACACCCCAAAACTAATGGATTTGCATTTTCTTTTAGGAGCGTCTCCTGATGAGTCTTTTGCCCAGGAACGTTGCCATGGAAATGAAGGAAGATTTCCTGAAGCCACCCGAAAGGATTTTTCACAAGATTTACATTCAGAGGCATGACAATGTTAGGTAGGAGTGACACCAGCTCACGAAATAATGTAAAGCAGATAACATGTAGTGCAAATAGAGTGACACACAGTGACTTTGAGATCTTACAGCACAAGAAAGCAAGCCCAATGGAGATGCGTTGTGTTGGTTTGGGGGAGGTTGGGATGGCTGAGTGGTAACATGCCTATAGAGACTGTGGATAACAATTTTGAGTTGATAAATAATTTAGAATAGTTATCCTAGGAGGAACCAAAATTTATATGACCTAGTAGTCATCTGATACAGTCTGTTATATTTGTGGTGGATACGAATATTTATTTTGCATGATCGTGACAGACTATATTTCCCTACAAACAGGAAGCATTGGTTGTTTGTGCAATAGCTCATTTATCCAGACAATGGGAAGGAAGTAAATGTTGGTGCAGTCCATCCATTTGTCATCCTAGGAAAATGTATATCTATCCCCATCACTTGATCATTCAGCCTCTCAGATGATTGACTGAGGGCCTGTTTCTGCCACCCTTCTCGTGTTAAGTAGCATGCTGTTCCATGTGCACTCCCTCTGAAATCAATTGTTGTTATCTCAGTCTTGCTATTCTTCTCAATCCCACTCCCACCCTTCTCCTCTCAAATGACCTGGTCCTGCTAGTGCTCAGGAGTACAGTGCCTTCCATTCCACAAAGAGTCATTTTTTTTTCTTACTACTGCAAAGCCCTGGTTAAATGATCCAATAGTTCTACTAATGGTGTTCTTAGCAGAAACTTGTATTATAAAAACCGAAAACATTTTTAAAAACACTGCTTTCCACCATTAATGCTCTTTGTTTTCATTTGCTTCTAATGTTCAGCTTGGATAATGAAAACAGAGAAATTACTTTCACTGAAATTTGCACTCAGTTTCTAGTCAGTTTCACTTTGTTTCCTCTGAACAAGGGCAGTGCTGCAGGGTTTGGGTTTACCTCAGAAAAATATTTGGTTTCCAAACACTTCTGCAGGAAAGTCCAAATAAAAAACCTTTTTACTAGGGTCAGGAAGTTAACATTTATAGTGTTACCAACATTCATGATTTTAGTGCAGGTCTCATGGTAGATTTTGGTTTTTTTAAAGCCTCAGTTCCTGGAATCCTGTGATTACGTGAGAATCTCAGCTTTTCCTTTTTATTTTTAAATAAGTTTCTAACCCTCAAAGTTTCAGAGAAAAGCTTGAAAATGTGACCCAAGTGCCTCCTACAGGCTCAGAAATCAAAAGGCAGGTAAGATTTAAGCCAGTCTCATTATTTTTGGGGGGTCCTGGCTCATGATTTTTGAATGCTTAGGGTTGGTAATACTGCATTTATATTGATCTTGGATTTCGCAAAACCCAAATTGAGAGTTTCAAAAATAGGTGCCTGTAACTAGGCACCTAGGATGAGATTTTCAAAGGTCCTAAGCGATTTAGGAGCACAAGTCCCATTCAAAGTCAATGGGACTTGGTCTCTTAAGTCACTTATACACATTTTGAAAATTCCTCCCTTAAAAAAGAACTACCTACTTTTGAAAATCAGGCCATTTCTTTAGGTACAAGAATGGATTTAGGAACCTAATTTTAGGTCCCTATTTTTTAAAAATCTTGCCCCCTATCTTTATTTGTTGTGCCTAGCACTAAAATGCCACCCTCCCCATCATCTTTGCAACTCATAATAGTTTACAGATGGCCTACAAATGATAAAGTAATAAGGATGGGAGGTTGGAGAACTGATTGAAGAAAACACCTTCTAAGCCAGATAGATTGTATCACATTCCTATGCTGTGACTGTGACCGAGTCAAAGGAGACATTCTCTTCCTCAGACATACCATCAGCAAGTCCTTGTCCAACAGAACCAGTCGAGTTGGGCTCTGTAGTGAACCCTTTTTATCTTACTCTTTTAAAGAGTTGAGTTTCTCTATCTACAAGCTTTCAATCTACAAGCTTTGCTGCAACAATCTACCCAAGCTGAGTGAGTGACACTTGGAATCAGTGTCACCAGGATGTTTTCAATGCAGTACCATCTTGGGTGGATTTTGTACAATTTTGTTCAGTGAAATCTTCAATGTTGAGGTAATTACAGCCAGTTAGCTGGCAGGTGGACCTGCACTTCTTGGCTTGTAAAGATGATCAAGAAAGCTTGGGGCTAATTATTGAGACCTATTAATGCTTTCCTTGGTGAAAGGGTAATGATTGTCATAACAGGTCATCACCGGGGATTGAATTTGGGACCTCCGGTGCTTAAGAAATGTGAGTCTCTATCAGACTATCCTTTGTAGAGCATTCACTAGGGAGGGATGCATCATATTCACTGAATAGTGAGTTATTAAAGTGTGGTGCCAGCTACCAGTCTCTGCCCTAATGTTTTCAGGGAAGGTTATTGAGAAAGTGAAGTGAGGACAGTACATGTCACATCTTGAGCTCTTGGGTGTCCTTGACCCACTCTTCTGGATTTGGCCACCATTGTGGAGCAAGCTGGAAATGTTAACAAATGTTTCTCTTAGCTTATTCCAAAACATTTTTCCAGCATGTTTCTCAGTGAGTTTTGTCTCTCTTTATTCTCATCTGTTCACAGATGAATCTCTCCAGCTGTAAATCACTTCAAGCTTCCTTCTTAATACTGTAGGGGTTTATTCTCACTCGGCAGTTCAAAGCATTAAACTCCCCTTAACATGAATGGAAGCCGTGTGTGCAGAGTGGGGGCGAGATTAAAACTTTAAACTACATTTGCTTTTAACTTGATGCTGCTCCATAAACCTCAATGGATCACATTTAAACCTTTCATCCTGTCAAAGAACAAGCTACCTTCTTCCTTAAGTCTGACACCATTATATTCTTAAGTTGCAACTGTAGTGATATCAGTAAATCCTGCCCGCCCAGAAGCTTGCAAGCATTTTGGCAATTTCAGTAATTTTGTAGTGATTTATTTTCCAAGTGATGATCCTAAATGAAAATAAAATTAATACATTTTAGATGAGAAATTTTAAAAGCTTACTCAAAGGAATTTTCACTTGGTCTTACAGGTGCAATAAATCTGTCATTAATAATCATATCAACTAAATAATAATTTACACCTGTAGGATCCAGCACATTGCATTCAAGGATGTCACAAACATTAAGCCATGAGCATAAAATAATTAAGGCTCTTAACACTTCTGTGAGTAAAAAGGATAAATAAAGTCTTGTTTTAATGATGAAATAGCCTGAGGCAGAGAGATTAAGTGTCTTCATTTAGCCAGGTGTAGGGTTAGTTATAATACCCAGGAATCTTGACTCACCTTCTCTCATAGGCAAACTCCACAGAGGAGGTTAGACTGGACAGGAAGACAAAGTCACAAGCTCTTGCCTAGGGGGAAAAAATCAAGGTAAACTCCTTGGGAAGGAGCCGTTGTTATGACTATTATATGTGAAGTGCCACCAGTAATGAGACGGAGATTGTAAGGTTGACACTCCTATCACCCTGCTTTTAACTTCAGTCACATAAATGGAGTTACTCCAGTGTAAGAAAGAGCAGAATCAGGCTCTTGTTCACGCAATGCTGTGCTAACTGTTGGTGCTAAATAAATTACCTTAGAATGTTAGTATTAATTATGATTTAAAGTGTTCTTTGGTCCTTATCAGTGCTGCATTTCTTTCCCTATCATCATTCATCTTTTTACAGATTTTTTTCTTTGAAGACAACTTATTTTCTGCCTATATCACTGTAGCTATATCATTCTGAATTTAAATGGTTAAATGGGTTCTCAAATAATTACTTACAGCCTTTGTTTTTTCCATCATACTCACAGCCACAGCAGTGATAAGCTATTCTTGCTTGCTTTCTTATAACTGAAGTACATGGCTGTTTATAGCATAGTATCTTTTTATATTATTTACAGTTAAAAAGACAGTATGTTAAGAAAGGCTTTACATTTTTTACCTGTATCATCTAAAGCCATAAAGAGCATGAAAACTTTGGGTTTGAGCTCTGTTACCTATCGAAAGAGAAGGATCAATGAACCCAAAATTGACCACAGACTTAGAAGCCAAATAATTGCACAGGAAAATATTATGTTATGGTAGGCTTCTGTGTGTGTATTTATATGTGTGGGTGCGGGGAAGAAATCTTTCCAAGGCAAAGTTTCACTGTATCTAGGATGTGGCCCGAGGTACATAAAAATCATGATTAAAAACAGAAAACATTGATCTTTGGAAGCTTTCCAGGGAAGAGGTCAAATGGACTTTTCATAATCTGATGGGAGTCAATATTGTGCAGATGAAATCTGTACTCTTCTGGGTAGCTTTGTTTCCTCTTCCTACATGTTGTGTGTAATAATTAGTGATTATCTAATGGATGGACCTTGACCTCAGAGAGACAATTGTTGTGTCAGTTATCAAGAAAGCAACAGAACTGTTTGCTTGCTTGCTTATGTTTTGTTTTTAATGGGGCTGTTCGATTTAACAATAGGAACAGATGCAAATGCCATGGGTTACCTGAAAAAAGTTCTTCATAGAATAAATGGATGAAAGCAGAAAAGAAAGATGTGGCTACATTTGCTTGTCTGACATGATCACGGCATCAAGAAAGATGTGGAAAAGGCATTGGAGGGGGGATGGTCTTGAAAAGCAGGTTTAGAGTGGCACAAAGAGGGTGGATCAGGGCAGAAGATCAGTCTTTGCCTTAGTTTTCTGTAAAATGGGGATAATAATACTTTCTCCCACTTTTTGTCTGTCTATATATACACATACAGTGCCTAACACAATGGGACTCCAATCTTGGTTGGAGTTGCTAGGTGCTGCTTATAAGACTAATAAAAATAACATAATCATCTCATGTGCACACTTTATATGGGGCCTCCAGAGAATCTGCCTATTCATCTACTTTGCAATTAGCTTTTCTCACTCATAATCAGGTGCTAATAGAGATATTTTAATATATGCAGCTTACAGAAATGTGGCCAGTTTAGAATGTAAACAGACAAGTACTCACTCTGCTCTGTGAATCAGATTCCTCAAGATATAAATGGATAATGAGCATTCAAGCTACTACGAATTTTCTAGTCTCTACTATGGTAGTTTAGTTTAGCCTAATTTTAATAATACACTAAATGCAGGCAACAATATAGAGTGAAATTGAAAATATTGATCTCTTACAAACTGAGCACCTGATCCAAAGCCCATTGATGTCAGTAGAAACATTATCATTGTCTTCAGCAGGCTTTGGGTCAGACCCTATAGGTTCTTTGGACATTTACTTGTGAAAGTAGTCCCACTGAAAATCTCTGGGATTATTCCTGTAAATGCTTGCCACTATGTAAGAGTTGGACATTCAAGGCCTAAATAGAGGCTACTATTCTTAAGAAACAGTACATTTCCTAGATTAATAGTGGCATCTTCAGTCCCAAGAAAGATCAGACCAGAAATACCAGTCTCATTAAAAATCTGATTTTATGAAATGTCAAGATGACTTTAAAAATGCCCTTAATTTACCCTGTAGCGAGGTTTCAAAGCTTGTGTTATGTGATGCTCCTGAGGCAGATGGTTCATTGGGAATTGATTTTAAGGCAATTTCTAAAAAAATAAAGAATACATTTTCTTCTTTTCATGATTTCACTCCAACAACCCCATGTTCTTTTTGTGAGCACCTAGTTCATAATTCACACAGCCTACTGTAGATCTTAGTGACTTAGAATGTGTCTACATTGGAGGTGTGATTCCCAGCTCATTCCCATAGACATACTCATGCCAGCTGTGCTCCAGCTACCATGCTAAAAATAGCAGCATAGCCTGGGTAGCAGGGGTGGCAGCTCAGGCTAGCTCATGGACTATGTACCCACCCAGAGCCCCTGGGTACATACTTGGGTGGCTAGACCAACTTGCTGCCTGTGCTATCCTGGGAACGCTGCTATTTTTAGAGCTAGCACAGGTTCATCTACGCAAGTTATGAATCACACCTACCAGCTCAAATGTAGATAGACTCATAGACTTTAAGGTGAGAAGGGACCATTATGATCATCTAGTCTGACCTCCCGCACGATGCAGGCCACAAAAGCTGACCCACCCACTTTCCCTTAACTCAGCTGTTGAAGTCTCCAGATCGTGATTTAAAGACTTCAAGTCGCAGAGAATCCTCCAGCTTGCGACCCCTGCCCCATGCTGCGGAGGAAGGCGAAAAACCTCCAGGGCCTCTGCCAATCTACCCTGGAGGAAAATTCCTTCCTGACCCCAAATATGGCGATCAGTAGAACCCCGAGCATATAGGCAAGATTCTCCAGCCGGATCCTTATTTTACCAGCGATGTACCAGTAGAAACAGTTTTATTTATCAAACTGTTATAGATTCCGTCCTGTGACAGTATATTATACTAGAAAATTGTTCTTATTTTATGTTGACTGAAGGTGACCTAAAGGCTCAGTTAGCAATCCTTACTCACACTGCTGAGCACTTACTTATGTGAGTAGTTCCAATGAAGTCAATAGGACTCTTTATGTGAATAAAGTGTATGCATGAACACTGTTAAAAAGTGAACATTTGCCATCTGTAGAATTTAAATTTGCTATGGTATTTGCAGTGTTTTCCTTCCAAAACCGAGGATGCTATATAAATAATGGGATATAGCAGTGAACCGTAGCAGCCTAGATCTGCTATGCTATGCAGCAGAATTTTGAGGCACACTTTTAGCAGATGTTGGAACCCAGCAGAAAGCTGCTGAAGGTCTGCTGACTCATTGTGGCAGGTGCAGCTCGTTAATGCCATCAAGGCTATAAGGGCGGTGGGAGGGAGCTAAGGCAGAGAAGATCCTCGAGGGATGGATTAGGCATTATTTTTGAGGGAACAATAAAGCCAAACCAAAGGCAGGGAGTGAGTTTGGATGCTAATTCAGGGTCGGTGTGCTCTGTTGAGGACCAAGTAGGACTTGGATCATTCACATACTGGTTGCATTACAAATAATTAGAAGGTTACAACATAGCTCTAGTGTATTATTTTCTTGTAATTTCTCTATTTAACAACTTTATAAATCCTGTGGCTACACAAAGCATATAATCCTCTCATGTTCTTACTATAGGGATGAATTTCTCCTCCTCCTTTCAGTGTCCCTTCCATTCCAACAAATGGGGAAGGACATCATGAAAAGCAATGTGTTTATCCCACAAAATGGAATTACTATTATTATTTATTACTTGTATTACTGTAGCACATATGAGCCCCAGTCATGGATCAGAACCCCATTGTGCCAAGTGATTTACAAACACAGAACAAAAACATGGTCTGTGCCCCAAGCAGCTTACAACCAAAATATAATACTAAAGATACCGGATGGATACTGACGGATGGGGAGTACATGGAACCAATGAAACATCTTGCTGACCAGTACTAACCTATATGGTGTTAAATATTTTTGAACTGGAAAATGAGTCTTTGTTCCACTTTTGTGTGTGTTAAATACTTTTTTTTTTTCATAAATAGAAGATAGGGCCTAAATGCACCCCACTCTTTGCACAACAACAAACCATTTAATGAGCGAGGCTGCAATACAGCAGAGGCCTGGGATTTGGAAGACCCCTACTTCATTCATTGCATACTGTCTGTTCTCTGTGCTGAGGACTCAGTTTCGCTATCACTTGTTCAGAATAAATCCATGCCTAAATAATAAATAATATGACTTATAGAATGAATAATATGACTTACAGAATAAATCTATGGCTTGCTATAGGTTTTCACTGTGGTAATGGAAAAATATAATTTAATCCAACATAAGGCACAGATTCACAGGACCTCTGTCTTATTCAGTGTGTGTTGTCCAAGCTATACATGGAATGAGGCAGGTATCCTGCAGTTATTTGAAATAATATAATTAGACTGTATTGTTGTGCATACGCACAAGAGGGCAGAGTTAATTTTGAGTCCAATTTTGACTTGACATTTTCACTGCCTTTTTACTCAAAACAGCCATTTTTGAACATTGTACATTTGTAATAAAGACTTGTGATTAATATTCAGCTGTGTATAATTGGAACATTACAATTAAAATGTTCAAGAACTTACAGTTATTAAAAACAAACAAAACCCCTAAACCTTAAATGGAAATGACCATAAGGTAAGATAACATATATAAAGATTTTGTTAACTTTAAAAAATGTCTGCATTTAATTAACAGTATTGATATATAGAAATTCACCTTTCAGATTTCACAAACAAATGTAACAATATACACTTCAGAACTCTCTTAACACACAACTATTTATATATTTTACATAGTTAGTTATGCATATACTAGTGATGTATGAAATGAAAGTGTTTGCAAGTATGTGTTGTGGGTCACTTTATACATCCCCAATTTGGCCTGTGGCTAATAAATGAAAACCCTATGGACCAAATGGTGAAATAGAAGGATCAACATATGTGCCAAATAAATGTTCCTTTTAAATGAATGTATTTGTTGTATAACTCATTGTGTCAATTCTGTAAAATAACCCTCCTTTAAGCAAACAGCTAATAAATGAGCACCTTTACTGTAGGCCATGGTTAAATAACGAAGAGCTCTAGATGTAATTCCCTACAGCATACCTGTTCTTAACAGTAACTGTAGGTCACCTACTATATTTAGCATTTAAGAATTTGAGCATTTACATTCTTTCCATTAAAATATCGGGCAGTCTGTGTTGTGTGTGTGTTCACCCCGAGTGCCGATTTGAAAATTTCTTGATTAGCAAATACTTGAGTTTTACTGTCTTATATGTTTTGAAAGATTTAAAGAAGTGTCCAGATTTGAAAAACAAACAACCATAAAATTCTAAAGCTACCATTTTCTAAAATAGTAGCCACTAATTTTGGGTGCCCAGTATGAGGCATCTCATGAGACATTTGGCTGTCTCATGTTGAGCAGCCAAAACCAGTGACCACTGCTGAAAATTTGGCTGAAGCCAGGAATAGGAAAACGCATAGAGCAATACATCAGACATAAACAGAAAAACTCATCATATGCTTATATAGATCCTGGGAACTTCTGGCGTGACAGAGAAACCAAATAGAATTTCTAATCGAATAGTAATAATTCATGAAAGAAAATACCAGTGATGTCTAATTGAATATAATTGAAGTCTGACAGCTAGGTGGTACATTGGATTGTAACAGTCCTTGCTTTTTACCTTTTGGATAGCTGAATTCCTATGTGTTTGGGTCAATTTCTAGAAATCTTTAATGCACATCTGAGTGTATTTCAAAAACTTCAGGGAATTTAGTATGATGATTTGGCACTGGCTGACTGATTTCATGAAAGACAGATCCAGGTCTATCAAGCAGTGATGTTGTAGGTCCAAAATGAAGTACATTGGCAGAGCTTTGGGGGTAAATCTGAAGAGCACTTATTGGCACTACCATATTTATTTATATTCTATTTCAGTCTTTCACTGTGCCATCTCCATGGTGTCTCATGGTCATGACACTGTAGTCACAAGGCACCAGAGATTAATCTATCCATACATATTTTATATTTAAAAAATCTTTACTATGATGATAAAACACATGTATGATGTAAATGATCAAATTCTGGAGTGTAATATGTTCAAACAATGCTCTAACAAAGTATGTTCTAGGAAGTGAAGAGGAGTTGCTCTAAGGATATGCATGACAGCACATACATGAGCTTCTAGACCTGTATTGAGGTTTGGAGCTGTTGAAATTTAGAAGGTTCAGTGTTTTGTTGGGCTAGGTTACCAAGGTTGGGGAGGTGAAAAGGATTTTGGGGGCAGAAGTTATTTTAGCAATTGCATGGAATCAAATTAGGTATTGGGAGGATTTGTGGCAGCGGGGTGACTTCTGTGCCTTTGATAAAGGGCTGGGTTGGGAATTGAGAAGGTTATATTTTCCCTTTCTTGGGTTTTCGGGTGAGGGATCAGATTTGGTGACCTTGTCTGGAAGCAAGAATGGGGGACTGGTTAGGTTTGTGTTTCTAGCATCTGTTACATTAATTGGGAGGGAAGGAGCTGCAATTGTAAGAATGGAGAATTGTTTTGGAGGAGGGAGATTTGTGCTGGGTTATCTTAAATTGCTGTCCTCAAGATGTATTAAGTCATGCAAGCACATCTAGAGCATATGGGTAGGTGGCATTTTTATAAACCTAAATAAATAATTATTTGATGTTATTTAGGCTGGGTACTACATGTGAGTAGATCCATAGCATTTCCACAGCTGCCACAGGGCCTGGGCCAGCAGGTGAGTAAATCTAAATAATTAATACTTCCGTAGCCACTTCCATTCAAGGATCTACTTAGGTATTTATATGGCCCCTTTCAACGCAGTATCTGAGTAACTCCCAAATACGTTTAGATTTATCCTCTCAACATCGCTATGAGGTTTGGAAGTGTAATTAAGGCAGAGAGGGCAGTTGGGCATACAAGTCCCACTGATAGTCAGTGGGATTTGGGTACTTAACTCCCTAAGGATGTTTTGAAAATTCCAGCCTAAGTGATTTGCCCAGGGTTTTACAGTCTGTGGCAAAGCAGGAATTGAACCCAAATCTCTTGAGTCCTGATCCACAGCCTGAATTCCTCAGAGTGTTTTGTAAGCATTAATCAGTTGAGCCTCACAGTACTTTCTGTAAATTAGCCCCATTTCTCATGTAGGCGAACTGAAACACAGAAAGCTTATACAATTTAGAAGTTAAGCGAGGAAGGATGGTCGAGTGGTTAGGGTGCTAGCCTAGGACTTAGGAGCTCCAGGTTAAATTCCCTGTTCTGCCATAGATTTCCTTTCTAATGTGGGGCAAGACACTTCAGCCTCTCTGTGGCTCAGTTCCCATCTGTAAAATGAAGATAATAGTACTGTCCTACCTCACAGGGGTGTTGAGGCACTCAGACCCCATACAGTGATGGGGAGGGGAGCGATATAAGTACCTAAGACAAAACTTGCTTGAGGTTCCAGGAAGCCTGTGGCAGAGCCAGGAACAGAACACAGATTCCCCTGACTCCTAGTTCTGTGCTTTAAATGCAAGATGATCCTGAATCTTTGATATTTGTGCTCTGCATAGCACTTTAATGGTGGCAATCCTCGTTTGTCTGAGTTTGTGTTCTGGGTTGCACTCAGTGCATAGAAGAAGATAATTAGAATAAGAAGGTGTGTTTTGCACTAATGTTTCCATGTTTCCTTCCTTCTCTTTACAGCATTTTGTTTGCAGACATTGTGGGGTTCACTAGTTTGGCATCACAGTGCACTGCTCAAGAGCTGGTGAAGCTTCTGAATGAACTCTTTGGCAAGTTTGATGAATTAGCTACAGTAAGCATGTCATTCTCTTTTTTTTTCTTTTCTTTCCCTATTTAATTTAATTGCTTTTTGAATAATGATGTCTTGGGTGGATTACATATGTTAGAGACATTAAATAGATTGATTGCTAGCCCCATTTCCACTGTGAGGCCCATAAATCGTGAGTTTCTAAAGTTTCTTTTCATTGATTTATATTTTTGAGATAAAGCAATCCATTTAAATGGTAAGAAAAGAAACTGCAGTTGCTATTTTTAAAATACTTTTCCCCAGTGCTCTTGACTGGACCTATTTACAATTAATGGAGGTAACTATTAAAAATGTAATTTTTTTACCATTCATAGAAAAGAAATAGTATAGTGGAAGATGTGAATATTGAATGTATAGTATAAATCTATTATGTGTTGGTGACAAGAGTTCAGAGCCTCAGTTCAGTTCCTCGCTGACAGTTGCCCATGTCACAGAAACTGTGATGGCTCATCAAAGAAGCTATTATGGATATAATAGATGTATTCTGATTACAAGTATTTATTATCTAGTCACAGCACCCACAGAGTAGTAGATGCCTTATGGAATAAAAAGACAGACACATTCCTTGCCCATAAGATCTGATATTCTAATGGTACAAAGACGTAGCAGTCGAGAAATACAAACAGTTGGTGGGGAAGTTGGAGGATGTGTGATTGCAGATGACCAAATGAGTTCACGTGGTGTTTGTGTGACACCCATGTCCTGTTCCAAATTATGTTCTATATTATGTACAAAATGTTTCTTCCACAAATGTCCTTTTCAATATATAGTGATCCCTTAATCAAGACTCTCCATTCCTTCCCACAGGGCGCTCACCATCTAAAAACATCCTCCCATGCACTGTGCTCTCTCACCATCCTACCATCTCCTCTCCTGACTCCACACAGCAACCCAGACTGTGTCCTTCTGCACCTCCCAGGGATTAACCTCCCTTAATTTCCTCAGTACACATCCCCTGTCCCTGTATATAACTCTGATGTCAAGCTTTGAGACAGATGAGCAGTTTCCATCCCCCCCCCCCATTCCTTTGCCAAACTGCCTGCTGATAAGTGTCTCCTGGGTGGGAGGAAGTCTCCTGCTGTATGCGATACCGGAGGGTGGGGAGGGTGTGGTGACCTACAGGCCCTCCTTTTCTCTCAGTTGTCTAAGGGAATGGGACTTCTACATGAGGTGATCAGGGCCAAACTGTAAAATGTCAGTTTCCTTCTGTGTCACAGGAGTCCAGAAACTGTGAAGGAAGACCATGACAGAACCTTCTCTCCCATCCCTTAAAGTCCCCCCACCCAATGGTGTTCAGGCCCAAAGAGGTGCACTGGCTGTGCTGCAGCCTCCCTGCCCCATTGCTGCAGCAATTCCAGCTGAAGTGCCCTCCATCCCTCTGTACAGCGGCCATTTCTGGGCTTCTCAATTCCTTGTCCTGCAAGTGGAGTAGCTACAGTTTCTGCTGATGCCGTGTTTGTTCCCAGGGATCTGGCCCCACCTCGGGAGATGTTCTTCCTTCTGTAGCCTGTATGATTGGGGGGCAGGGCTGCTAGTGTCCCCTAAGCCCCATCCCACATGTGTTAGCTGTTTCTGTAGGGGCTGCCTGTAGCGTAACAAAAGTGAGGGAGAAATTCACTTTTCCTTTTAGATCAAAGTAGCCTAAAAACTTGCCTCATGTAGCCACAGAAGCTTTTATAATTATCTTTAAAAATTATTCAACCTCGGAGCTGCATTTAGGGATGCCAGATGCACCAAACACTAGCATGGGCAGAGCTGATTAGACTGATGGCCTACGGGATGGATGCCAAGTGACAATGGATTTAGGTGGGAAGCTTTGCATAATTTCTAAATACCAGCACAGCTCCATGAATGTCAACCCTGTGTGACAATAAATAAGCATTTGGGCCATTCCCGATGCCCTTTACGCTTGAGGGTTTTTCACAATTAAAAAAAAATCACCAATCGCAATGGGGCAAAGTTCATTGTAGTCAATGGGAGTCTTTGGATCAGGCCTTAGGTCCTAGCTCTCGACCTCAAGGTGACTTCTGCATTTTCTTTGTTAAGGAACTAATAAGAACAAATATTTTAAAATAAAAATATTCAAACTCCAGGAATTCAGTGAAACTTATTCTTATTATTTTATTTATAAAATGTGCCTACAGCATTGGTGTCCCTGGCCTTTGGCCAGATAGGGTATCTCTGTATTGGATGAATTCTGATTGAGCAGTGGTATATAGATGGTGTGAGTTAGCCTGTCTTTCTCTGGATTTTAATAAGGGTGCTTGCATTTCCTCTGATTCCTATGACTTCCATAAGAGGAATCTATTACACGTTGTGTGCTATAGAGGGGAGATCAGAATGAGGATAATGCCTGTGTCAGGAAACAAAGAGGAGCCTAGTAGTAAGATCATACAAGGACACCTTGGGAGGACCTGAAACTGCCCTTTTGTAGGGCATGTGCATTGAATATATGACTATCATGGGAAAGGGATTGTCCCTGCCACCAGTTCTCTTTTCCCTGTTCTGAGCTCTCACCATCTTGTCTTGCTCCATTTCATCTTGTTGACACTTTATCTCCTGCAGGTGTAGCTCCTACCTATTCTCTGTTGTATATCATTCATTTCTTGCACTGTATTTCTTGTCTGGGATGCCTTTCCCAGTGGCAGGACGCCCTCCTGAGGAGTATTGTAGCGAAAGCATGGACACCCTTTGAGAAACCAGATGAGAAAGTAGATTAATCCTCTGAAGTTTTCAATGTGCCATAGAGGTCCAGCCAGAAGACTCAGAGAATTCTTTAATGAAGACCATGAGAGCCAGACATGATTTAAGTGAGCAAGATCTCTTGCAATTCCTTCCAACAGCATGAGGAGACACTAAAGTGTTTCTCAGCATTAGAGTAGGATTCTTGTCAGTGGTTCACAATTATTCCTACACATCTATTCATTCTTCTCACTTTCTTTCCCAGAACTCAAAGATGCAAGTGTTTGATACCCCAAACAGAGAGAATGGCACAGAAGGCGATCTATCTAAAGTACTTAGGTGCAGAATCTGAGCAGCTCACAATCTTTAATGCATTTATCGTCACCCCGGTGAGGTATCCCCATTCTACAAATGGAGAACTGAGCCATAGAGAGAGACTCACTTTTTCAAGGTCACACAGGAAGCCTGTGGCAGAACAGAGAATTGGACCTAGGTCTCCTGAACCTCAAGCTCATGTCCTAACCACTGGACCATCGTTTCTCTTCTAGGGAGGGTCATCAAAGTCTTGTTTCTGCTTTGGCTGCATTTATGCTATAAAAGAAAGCTATCTAATTCTTATGATTTATTTTCTTGTAGTAAGTCTGTTTCTGCACTGAGGCCTATGCATCTAATGAGAACATGAAAGGCCTGATTCTCCTCTCATGGTGTGTCTACTCTAGGAAATTCCACACCATCATTCTAGCACTGAGGCAGCATGCAGTGGGTTCATGCAAATGGTGACAATAAACAAATCAAGAGCATAAATCTAACCCAGATATAAACACTAAAGAAGGTGTATGGTAGAGTTTTAAAACTACGTGGTGACTCTGTTATGCACTTGCAAGATAGTCAGTTGCACATAAATTCCAAGTATTCAGGCTGCATGTGAGTAGAGCATGGAGCAACTGGAAAGATGAAATCCATTGCCCAAACCAGGGCCAGGGTGCAGGGCTGCTACTGTAGTTTATGGACTAGAACAGCCCAGTTGAGCTGTTTGCACTGAATATTAGCACTATTGGAGCTGCATAAATGTGAATGTGTGGCTCGTTCCCATTAAAGCCCCGTTGTGTCCTGAGCCAATATATGTGGAGTCAATAGTGAAACTGTTTACATGGCACACTGGGGTTGCACATAAATCTCTCCGAGATCAATTCACCATTGGAATCCCTGCCCAGAAAAAATGTGGGGCTTAGCGCCCAAGGCACTTAAGCAGATGCATAACTTTGAAGCTAATGGGACTACTATGTACTTAAAACTACACATGTGCTTAAGTACCTTTCTGAGTTCTTGCCCTCTGGAGCTTCACTTCATGGGTAAATTTCATCCTCTGATTGGGGCAGTGAACCCCCCTCCCCCCGCCCCGCCTCAACTTTCTAAAATCTTACACACAGTTTTCCTTTGAGAATGAAATGAAATCTCTTGTCTCTTCTTAACGATGCAAAGGCATGAACCAGCATTTGCATGCGACGGTAGTTTGTAATGTACGGCAGCAGAGTGTGAAAGAGGACAAAACCTGTCTTTTTTTTTTCTGCAGTAAAGAGAGTCTTGTAATCATGTCTCTTTCAGTCAGATGAAATGTGCACAGAGATACATGATTTTTTTTCACAGGGATTCTAATCTACTGATTAGAACAACTACTGCGTGTGTTTTGTACCTGATTAGTTCAAAGTCCTAGTCTGTGTTGGTTAAAAACAATGGTGTGCATTAAAACTCCAGGGTGTGTGTGGGGGGAAATGCAAGGAAAATCTATGGTCATTTAGTTGCAATGTGTAGAGTCCCTGTGACTACTGAAGTGTGATCTGTGATTGTACATTGTGTTTGTTGTTGGTGCTTAGGAACCAACATCAACAGGAAGTGGCAACTTGTGCCAGCCCTTGGTAAAATAATTGCCCTGTCTTACAAAGGTAATACAGAAAAATGATCCCAGATAGCACTGCAGTAAGTGTGGTAGGAGGAAAGGGCAAATATTAAAACAGCATTTACTTACTGTTAGTAAATCTTATGGAAACAGGTGGGCTTGAATGTTTCTCAGCATTAACAATTTAGTAAGTTTTTTTTAAAAATATTTAAATAGCACCTTTCATCCCAAATGAACCCAAACTAGGTTAAAATATATTATAATAATCATTAAGGGCTATATTGAGTCTTTGTTCCTAGCACTGAGTATTGGTTGGCATGTAGCAAGTCCTTAGTCTTTAACCTTTCCATTTCTGCTATGTCCTTTTTTACAATGGAGTGACCAGAACTGAACACAGAGGGCACAC